TTGAAAGGTGGTGACTCAGCACTCGGACATCGCTTCGATACTCTCAAAACAATTTCCTTAGATAAAACCTAGTATCAATACCACTAGGGTTTAGTCTAACGATAACCATGACTAATTAATAGTCTAGCTATTATTATTATTATATAAGCGTTAAATAACACTCAATATAACTCATAATAATAGCCCAAATACTTATTACAAGTTCCTAATAAAGTTAATATATTAAAACATAAGCTATACTAAAGATAAGGTAGGCATAACTCACTTACAGCGGGTTTTCTCGAAAACCGAGCTTCACTGGAGCAGCGTTTCTGAGCCAAAAGACCCTTTTTCTCGGGACTCCGGGAGCCTGGGGGCTTCCTTCGGGTGCTAGGGGGTTTACCTAGGCTTTAGAGGGGTTAGGGAGGCTTAGAGAGAGAGAGTTTAGAGAGAGAAAGAAGTGTTTAAAGGTGTGAGAATGAATGGAACCCGGAACCTCTATTTATAGGGGAGAAATCTGATGGACTCACCAAGTTGGTGCATGTGGCAACCTTCTGGTGGTGCCACGTGTCCAATTCTGGTGATGCCACGTCACCCCCTATCGCGTATCAGGCTTCAAACTTAGAAACATCATAACTTTCGCATACGAGATCCGTTTTCAACGTTCTTTATATCCACGCGTAGGTAAAATCAAGATCTACAACTTTCGTTTAGACTCTGTCGGCTAATGCTTGACCGATCTCAAATTTAACAGTAGGAGGCGTTTAGACTGTTAAATGACCGCGGAGAATTCATAACTCCTTCATACGCACTCCGTTTTCGTCTGTCTTTTTACCGTTGAGTTCCTATTAATGTGATCTTCAACTCTCATTTAGGTCGCGTAAGCCAAAAACCGCTTGAACTAAAATTCGAGTTTCGGGTCGTACACTACTAAGTCGAATCTTAGAAAAATCATAACTTCCTCGTACGAAGTCAGATTTGGGAGTTCTTTTTATCGACGCTCTTAGTTTAACATATTATACGACTTTCGTTTAGATTGCTAAGGATAAATCTCGCTCTATCGTAAATTCACTATTTAGGCTTCCTGGTGCCGTGCCGGTTTTGCCGTAAAACTTCGACGGGCCATAACTTCTTCGTTATAACACGGATTTCGGCGTTCTTTATATGTACGGAAACCTTGTGACATATTCCACCACTTGGTTAAGATTATTTATTTTAAATAACATTCTTGAAAAGTCATTTTCGACCCCTATTATCTCTAAATTGACTAGCCCGGATCTACGGGCGTTACAAAGCTCTTCGAAGAATTAAACCACCGAGTTGAAATACTTCTAGGGAACATTTAGAGCCTCAAAACACAAAATAACACGAAGTTTAGGAGTTCACGGCCGTAAACTCAAGAGTTTACGACCGTAAACACTATGTATGGGATTATATGGAGAGTAAACTCAAGTATGAGGTCCTTTGGAACCCTAAACCCATTTTGCCTTGTCCCACAAAAACTTAGATGCAATCATTAGGGCTTATAACACTTATATAAAGTGTTTATCATGTTCTAGGATGTCTTAACATTTACAATTAGTAATTTAATACTAATTGGGTGCATATATGTATGATTATATGTTCATTAGGATCATAGTGTGTGTACAAGTCCTCACTTGACACCTAACAATCAGACATCGTTCAGTGCGTCCAAACCACCATCTGTATGTGAGTTCATACCCCTTAATCAATGTTTTAAATGATTTTAAATGCTTTAATGGGGGGGGGGGGGGAATACAAGTAGAAAACAGTATGTTATTAAATCAATCTTATGTATTTTATAACTGTGTTTTCACTCAGTAGATTTCACGTACTTCAAAAGGAGACATATGAAATGGTTTTCTATCTTAAAATACCTTGATAATAAAAGTATTAGTTTTGAAATGTTTATTAAAATGACATCAAGTCACTCTTAAATATTATTCAAAACTCCTAGATATCTTGCAGAACCATTATTTTTACCTTCTTGAGCAAAACTACACTTATATGCATATGTTCTTATATATGTATTGATGTTATAGTTTTCATCCTTCGTTCAGTTTCCAACACCCTGGTGTAATGAGGGTGCATAAATCTACTTGAACAACCAATTACTTTCCAGTTAATTATCATAGGGATAGTTAGAAGAAACAAAACATTATTCCTATTACAAGGAATCACATAGGAGTCAGTTCATTCATGAGTCTATACCAGTACACTTACATATGCTTACATGATACATGAGTACATTTACCTAGGATTACATGATACATGAGTACGTCTACATAGATACATTTATCTGAATACGCTTACATGAATACCATACATGGTTACTGTTACATAGATACATTATCCTATATTCACTTACCTGGATACTTGTACCTAGAGTTACGAGGAAGATTTATTCGTACCTTCTGTGTAAATTTTCTTGCCTATCCCTGTTCGACGGGATGTCTAGACGGGACTAACCATTTCGGAACCCAGCTGTAAGCACCACTGGGTGATGAACATCTACGAATGTCTAAGGTTATTACTTATAATAGGTAGATTGATAACGGGACTAACCCTTCCTCCATCCTACTGTTGCAACAGAGGATGAGATGAAAATCTTCGGATGTTCATTAGGTTACCACTTATATTAGGAGTCGGCTACAGGACTAACCCTTCCTCCATCCTACTGTTGCAACAGAGGATGAGATGAAAATCTTCGGATGTTCATTAGGTTACCACTTATATTAGGAGTCGGCTACGGGACTAACCCTTCCTCCAACCTGCTGCTGCTACAGAGGACATTCGGACAATCTTCGGATGTTCATTAGGTTATACATATCGCTTACTGCGATGGCATGTTAGTCCTGGTATCCAGGGATAACACTTACATGGTTATATTTTTCCTATTTACTTTATTTTGTGATATATTCACATAAACGAGGAGTTAGACAAATTACTGTTTGTAATAGTCAAATAGAAAGGAAAAACTATCATTTTTACTTACATTGTCATAAAAAAACATTCGGGTCTTGGTAGAAGACTACATTTCATATTAGTATGAAATAAGGGATTTCTTAGAGTTTTTCATACTTATATCAACTGTTCCATTTAAAGATTTACATGGCATTCATAACAACATTCCAAAACAAGACAATAACACCTAAATACTTATGAATTCACCAGCTTTAAAGCTGATACTCGCTTTCAAAATTACTTGTATTCTCAGGTCATTAGTTAGACAGGTACGATGGCCAGGTTTTGAGAAGACGGAGCACAGACAAGACTCACCTTATTTTGATTATTCATTTTATTGTTGTACATTATGAAAGAACACACATGTATTAAAACTTTAATCTTAATGCAATGGATGATGTTGTTGCTTTGTTTACTACTTTACACCATTATGATACTTCACATGACGTCCTCCACCCCGGAATGTTTCCGCCGTTCTTGGTTTTGGGGTGTGACAAATATGAAGAGTGTGACCATTACCAACAGTAACATTTGCATTACCCTTATAAGGAGAAGCATTGGATAGATTATTAGGAGAAGCTTTCATATGGGTAGATGCTCCTGAATCTGCAACTTACCAATCTGGAGTAGCATCGGTCACATGACATTTGGCATGAAAAGCACGAGCAAGATTGTTATCCGATGAAGCAGCCTTGGTCGCATATGAGGCGAGATTAGGACAATGAGACGCATAATGCACGTCGGTTCGACAGAGTTGGCAATAGGGAGTGCGATGACCACAGCCTTGTCCCGCTCCACGGGATGATCTGCCTCGACCGCGAGCAGAGGATTGAGACCGTGAATGTTCAGCAGCAAAAGCAACAGTGGGTGTGGAATTCGAACCACATATCGATCTCAGAAAGAGTTCATGACTCTCTAGTTGAGAAAGAAGATCATGAAATAATGGGGGCGGTTTAGATACCCGAATTGCTGTTGAAAAAGTCTCAAAAGTAGCACCGAGACCACATAAAAACCAATGAATCTTGTCCGATTCATCTACTGGTTGTCCAATTGCAGATAATTGATCACATAAAGCCTTAAACTTGTGTCCAAAATCAGAAACAAAAGATGATCCTTTAACTAGAATACGTAATTGATCACGTAAGTTATGTACCCTTTCAACCGAAGAGTAACTATAAGCATTTTTTAGAGCGTCCCAGATCTGTTCAGAAAAAGAAAGACCTAGAACTTCGGAGGCTACCTCTTCAGAAAGAGAGGAGTTTAGAAGAATTACAGCCTGCTGATCCTTCTCGAACCAGGATGTGTACTCAAGGTTCGAGATGTTTTGTTGTCTGCAACAATGGTGGCAGATGGAGGTACGACGGAACCGTCCACGTGCGCGAGAAGCTTTTGATAAGAGAGGAGAGGTGTCATCTGATTGCGCCATACTAAGTAGTTGCTTGAATTAAGTTTGATTGAAATCATATGCAAGATGGTTGCCATGGGTAGGGTTCCATCGGAGGGGTTAGAAGAAGAGGACATGATCGGCAGAAAAAGAAAATAGCGAGAAAAGAGGGAAAAAAATCAGAATCGAAGGGAAGAAGTTAGCTGGCTGATACCATGTGATAAAGGTAATCTCCACACCAAATTAGGTGGAATATCATCGGTATATATAAAGTATATATCACAATAACAGAATACAACTAAGAGGTGATTACATAAAGGCATACAAACTATCATTTGTGTCTATTTTACTCCAACATACCCTTTGGTTATTGAATAAAATGGTTTTAATAAATGTGAGATGCCAAAGATACAATCAACGCCACATCAATAAATAAAATGTATAAAGTTTCATAACAATGAAATAAAAACACATAATTCTATAAATAAAATTCAAAGTTAATGGTTAAACATTGTTTATAAATGTCTAAATGAAAGAAATATACAATCTGATTACGATTTACTTACATTTTTCATATTTCAAAAAATTATTAGTTTAACCTAAAACCTTAGAGTTCTCTAAGCTACCAAAACAATCAACCTTTGTAAAGTTGTCACTCCACGTGAACCCAAATGCCTTCACTTGGAATGCCTTGATGTAACAAAAAAAGAAGGTAATACCCTACCGGTGCTATATTGCCGGAAGGTGGTGCCGTCACAACAACCTCATAGTTCGACGTTCCGATGACCTTGGTGGTGTTTCCTCCACCAAGAACCAACAACCTTTGATTCATGGAAAATGAATGTGTGTTAAATGATGGTGCCATCATTGTCACCAAGACTAAGTTCAAGTCGAGCTGATCTTGGATAGTGAACTGTATAACCATCTGTTTCCCGTATTCAAACTGTGTATGGGAAACAGGTGCGAGTATTACCGGACGAAGTCCGGATGAACTTGGATCTAGATAAGAAGGGGAAAATGCCTCCAACCTTAATTCAGTAGGATAAAGTACGTTTGTGAAAGTATATTTTTCATGAGGGTTACTACCGCCTACAATAACCCGGCCATCTCGAATCAAAACTGCAGTCGAATGGTACATTCGTGGTATAGTGCTCGGGTTTTGAACCTCAAAACGGGACCCGATTGAGTTGTCGGGTTTGTATATTACCGGTTCAAGAACTGGGTTTCGCGCATGTTCCCAACCCGCAGTCCCACTTGACCCACCATTGATGACCAAAACGTCACCGTTTGGAAGCAACAACATGTCACCCATGACCCGGCCCATAGGCATGGTCTCCATGACCCATTGAGGATTCGGGTCGGATATCTTAATTCTCCCACATGTATCCAATGCTCCATCGAATTTCCCATGTTTAGCATTAGTATAAGCTCCTTTCGGTGCACCACCGCACACCAAAACTTCAACCACAGCTACAATATCTTGTACTATCCGCATTGGAAGTAGTACTGCAGAGCCGGAGCTGGGGTAGTTCCTCGGGTCGCCACCAGGTATTTCCGGGTAAGTCTTGACAACTTTGTTATCGGAGTAATTGAATAAAATCGCACGGGTATTCGCAAAGATGAACAAATTTCCATCGGTATGAAGAAATACAAATGGGTATAAGTTATTCTCAATCCACCGATCATATGTTTGAACTAGAAACGGCAAGCTTTGAGCTTTCTCCGACGGTGAGGTTTTCGGGAAGAATTCGTAGTTAAATTGCCGGCGACCACCAATAACAATCTGTCGGCCGTCTGGTAATATATGACTGGTGGCGTACCATCTTCTTTGAATCAACCCAGATGGCATCTCTTCCCAATCGCACTTATCACAAGATCTATAAACCCTTACGGCATGATCACCGTCATTATATCCGCCAATCTGGACTAAGCTGCCATTGGAGTCTAGAGCTCCGGAGGAACACCAAACATCAGTGAGAACCATGAGGGGGCGAAGGGTGTTGGAGGCGACGTCGTATTCAACTGAGTGTGCGGTGCAGTCGAGCTTCAACACCATGTCGTTTTGGTCAAAGCGGCATTTTCCGGCGGGGAGGGAGATATTTGAGGAGCCAAAGTCTGTGCGATCAAAGATTACGATACGGTCGTTAGGAAGGAGCTGCATGTGCATGGCGGAGATGCCAATGGTTGGGAGGAGGAGGGTCCAGTAGCCGGCGGCGGCAGGGCACGCCGGTGGGGCATAGTGGAGGAGGAGAAGCCCGAAGAGGAGGTGGTAGTATACGTGGGAGGTGGAAATAATCATGAATTTTGAATGTGTTTTGTGATCCTATTGGTGATCGGAGGTGGGGTGCAGGTGGAGGTACTTGAAATGGGAGGTGTTGGCAGCTATAAATTCCTACATGCATGATGCTAGGATCAACAAAGAAGAGCACATTTGGATTTAGATCATTTATTGATTTTCCAACTATAAAAATGGTCCCTGTTATATTTGAATTCACCAATATGAGAATTAACATACCATTGAATTTATGCAATCCGATTTTAATTGTATTATGTAAAGATTAAATCTGATAGTTTATTGGTAGCAGGTTTATAAAGCTTTAAGATAGACAAAGAAACTAAATTTTAAGGTAGTCTAAATTATAATTAGTAGTTTATGATCTTTTGAATATTTTATTTTGAGATATTGTCTATTATTTTTTGAAAAGTAAATCTAATCTCCTAAAAAGTCTCTTAAACTATTTCCACATATGGGACTTGAATTTTAACCTAAAAAGAAAAAAAAACGACATGACATACCACCAGGTTAGAACTCCTTTGGACCAGGTTAGAAGTCCTTTGGCATCGACTAATTAAATAATACTATTTGAGATCATGTTATATATATTAATCCCTACATAATCCTTGAGTACATATTTTGATGTTTCGCTGTACTTTTTTATAAGCGTATCACATTTGTTAATGAAATTTGCTTCGATATATAAAAAAGAATAACCGAAACACTTTATAATGCGTTCTTGTGCATATTAAATACAAAAGTATATCCTTGTGAAATTTTAATGAATAATTGTGTTTAAAGCATGAAAGTTGTGTTTCATATTTATGTCATCATGCTTTAACTTATCATATCTTATGAGGACAAGAGTTTATTTATTTATTTATTTATTTATTTATTTTTGTGATATTTGGTACAAAAATTCAACCTCATTTTATAGAAAATTGTGTTTCTCATCCTCTTGAGAGAGAAACTATATATCTTCAAATTAACTCAAACTCTCTTGATAAATTGTTTCATTAATTGTATTTAACTGTAATGGATTGACTTGTAGACCAAATTAATGTTGATAAATATTAAATAATGAAGAAAAATATAGAGTACACACTTGTTTAAGTTTTGTCACACCCCCAAACCATCAGAAACAAATGTCGGAAACGTCCGGGGGTGGGTGACGTCATGCGTAGTATCGCAACAATTGCATCATAGTAATCAAGTAAACACAACCATTACATTGCATATGAAATTTGCATCTATATGAAAACATAGTTTGTATACATCAATATATAACAAAAGTGAAACACGTGACTCTAACATGCCCAGTCTTCTCCAAAAGCTGGCAAGAGTACCTGTCTATCGTTGTCTCGAGAATACAAGTGGTTTTGAAAACATATCAGCATAAAACTGGTGAGTTCATAAGCATGTTTTTATATTGAAAACTAGTCACTAAATTTGTACAAATGATTTATTTTCATTATAAGTAAAGTATCGTTTATATCGGAACTCTGGTTACCACCAGTATGTAAGATGTGTTCAGATTGAAAACCCTGACTACTACCAGGATGTAAGATGAGTTCAGTTTGAAAACCCTGGGTACCACCAGTATGTAAAGTATGTTCTGTTCGGTAAATCCTGGCTACCACAAGTATGTAAAGTATGTTATGTTAGGTAAATCCTGGATACCACCAGTATGTAAGTTCTTGTTTGAAAGGCATTGGCTACCACCAGTAACTAAAGTAGTCTTATTACTTAAAATAAAACCAATGTTGTATCCCTGGAATACCCTCCAGTGTAGTATGTAGGTAGTCTTATTAATTAAATAAAACTATTGAAGAATGAAGATCTCGTAAACAAATGTTATTTTATACTATTGTGAGTTCGTATAACCATACTAATGTGACCAGTGACCTCCTTGACGTTTCTTCAGGCACCGTACGTTACAAAATTTTGTGCCTAACTTTACCTAACAGTTTAGGTGTGAGATTGTCGGTCTCGAATAGATCTATTCACAAATTTCGGAGACTCTGGTTATACTAAAGGTGAGGATTTACCAGTACCCGAAGGGTACAATGAAGAGAGGTCTCACAATCCTGTATTAACTTGTTTACGTGTTGTTCTGTTGTTCACATGTTTGGAATCATTTATATATATCATGTAGAGTATAAATAATTATACGTAAAATAATTATTTAGTAAAATACTCTTGTTATCTGTATGTAGTAATGGATAAACGAAATATGTCATAGTTTATGTGTTCAACCTTGTACGTAGTTTGAATCTGTAAAACTGTTAATGAATTTCCCAAACTATACCTATTATAGTTTGACTGATATGTTTTGTTCATGTACTATTCTGAAAACTATGCAATTATGTTTTAAAAAAACATCCCTGATGGTCCGCATATTATAAAAGGGATAAAGTATCTAAATGTTTGACGTAAAACTGTTGAAATTGCATCAGTTATTGACTTATGAAAGCCTTTATGTTTGGCTTGTATTCCCCCGTGAAAACATTTTAGAAACTATAAAAGCGTAGGGGTATGAACTCACTGTTTGTTGGGTGCAAAGGACTGAACTGGAAGATCCTCGAGTCGATGCACATGGCACTTAATGAAATCCTAATATCAATAAATACATATACATATATAAATTAGCGATTTCTTTAGATAAAGTGTTAGATAAACACTTGTTTTCGGTTAAGGAATGTTACCGGGACTTGGTTGAATCGAGGGAACAGGCTTTTCACCACTTAAGAGTTGTTTACAGCTGTAAATGGGGTTTACGGTCGTGAACTGGGTTTGCGGCCATGAACAGGGTTTACGACCGTGAATAAGGTTTACGCCCGAGAATTGGGTTTACGGCTGAGAACTAGGTTTTCAGTCTTTGAAGATTTGAAGCGTTCACGGCCGTAAACTTAAGAATAAGGGTGCTTGATTTCGACGAAAATGTGTTCCAGATGCTCCCAAACGGCCCTAAATGAAGATTTCCAGCATTTTTCGGATGAAAGGAGGGGCTTTTGGTGTTTACGGTCAAGAGGGTTAAAGAGAGAAAGAGGGTGTTTCCGGCCAAGAAAGTTCAAATGAGGGTAGGGGTCCTGTATTTATCGGTTGGAGGGTATGTTCGATGGTGGGGTCCACCTGGCACCGACCGTAAACGGGTTTACGTCCATACACAAGTTTAAAGCCGTAAACTCGTCATGGCCATGAACATGGTGTTTTTCGAGAAAATTTTGAGTTTTTGCGTGATTTTTGGTATTCCGACTCATTTAGAATTATAACTATATCCTTAGTTGATTTTCTAACCCAAGAAGTTTGACAGAAAAATCAATAAAATTCAAATTTTTTATTAAGTGAGATGGATAAAAAAATAACGGAAGAAATTTAGGGTTGTCACATCATCCCCCCGCTAGAGGGAATTTCGTCCCGAAATTCGAACATAGAATACAAATCATGGATTAGAAAAGAGATGCGGATACTTCTGTTTCACCTGATCCTCGCGCTCCTAAGTGAATTCAGGTCCCCGCTTGGCATTCCAACGAACCTTCACTATCATGATGTGACTTTGTTTCGTTTGTTTAATCTCTCTATCCATGACTTCAACTGCTTCTTCCACGAAGTTTAGGTTCTCGTTGATTTCAATCTCATAAGAGGGATCATAAGGGTCTTGTCGGATAAACACTTTTTAAGATTCGAGAAGTGGAAGACAAAATGAATGTTGCTAAGTTCTTGGAGTAAATGAAGTTTGTACGCTACATGATCGATACTAGAGAGGATTTCGAATGGTCCTATGTATCTTGGATTTAACTTTCCACGCTTTCCAAAGCGTATAAGGCCTTTCCAGGGTGAGACCTTCAACAAAACACGGTCTCCAACTTGGAACTCCAAGGGTTTTTGTCGTATATCGACGTAGCTCTTTTGTCTATCTCGTGAGGCTTTCAGTCATTCCAGAATTTGTATGATCTTTTCTGTGGTTTCATGGATGATTTCTGGGCTGGTGAGAGTGCTGTCAGGGACTTGTCCCTTAGCTAGTTGCGTTTCGCCCACCTCAGCCTAGCACATAGGGGATCTGCACTTGCAACCATAAAGGGCTTCAAACGGCGCAACTTGGATGCTGGTATGATAACTGTTGTTGTATGAGAACTCGACCAAGGGCAAATGGGTGTCCCACGACTTAACAAAGTCGATGACACATGCTCGCAACATGTCTTCCATGGTCTGGATGGTTCTCTCACTCTGCCCATCTGTCTGAGGATGGTAAGCTGTACTCATATCCAGCTTAGTTCCAAGAGCTTCTACACTGATTGCCAAAATCTCGAGGTAAACCTACTATCTCGATCGGAGATAATGACCACAGGCACACCGTGCAGTTAGACTATCTCTTGGATGTAGATTCACGTGAGTCTCTCCATTTTGAACGTTTCCTTGATCGGTAGGAAGTGAGCGGATTTTGTCAATCGGTTGACTATTACCCAGATGGTGTCGTACCTACTCGGAGATTTAGGTAATTTGGTAACAAAGTCCATGGTAATCCTCTCCCAGTTCCATTCAGGTATCTCCGAATGTTGAAGCAAACCTGAGGGCTTCTGATATTCGACCTTCACCTTGGAACAAGTCAGACACTTGCCCACAAAGGTAGCGATTTCCGCTTTCATGTTTGGCCACCAATATAGTTTCTTGAGATTAAGGTACATCTTGTCTGAACCTGGGTGAACGGAGTATCTAGTCTTGTGAGCTTCGTTCATGAAAACCTCTCTGTAACCACCGAACTTTGGGGTTTATATCCGGTTCATGAAATAATAGACTCCATCTCCCTTGATCTCTAAGTTCTTCTCCATTCCCTTCTAGACTTTGTCCTACACCTTTTATGGCTTTAAAGCTTCCAGGTAAGCCTTTCTGATTTGTGTGGATAAGTAGGAATGGATAGTTATTGTAAGTGCCTTCACTCTACGACCTGAGCATTCTTTCCAGCTAACGGCATCTGCCACCACGTTGGCCTTACCGGGATGGTAGCGTATTTCGCACTCGTAATC